GAATCCCTTTCCTTTCTTGTCTAATTTTATAGGATAGTAGAGTCTTCTGAACACCCATTCCTCTCTTTCCAGGCACAATTCCCTTAACTGTGGAGAGGATGCTTTCTATAGTCTCTGGAATAGTTTCAATCTCAAATATTATCTGTTGTATTATCAAGACTCTGTTCCCATTTTTAATTCCGAAAATATGGTGATCAAACCATAGCACTTATACAAACTCTATGATGGCACCTATTACATTGTATTCTTTTTTTTTTTTTTTTTTTTTTTTGAGATGGAGTCTTGCTCTGTCGCCCAGGCTGGAGTGCAGTGGCACTATCTCAGCTCACTCTGACCTCCACCTCCCCGGTTCAAGCAATTCTCTGCCTCAGCCTCCTGAGTAGCTGGGATTACAGGTGCCCACCACCACATCCAGCTAATTTTTGTATTTTTAGTAGAGATGAGCTTTTACCATCTTGGCCAGGCTGGTCTTGAACTCCTGACCTTGGGATCCACCCACTCGGCCTCCCAAAGTGCTGGGATTATTGGTGTGAGCCACTGCTCTAGGCCTACATTGTATTCTAATGATTTACATGTCTGTTCCCCTCATTAGTCTGTGATCTTTTTGAGGGCAGGGGCTTAATCTTTTCCATTTTTTTTTTTTTGAGACAGAGTCTTGCTCTGTCACCAGGTGCCAGCCTGGAGTGCAGTGGCACAATCTTGGCTCACTGCAACCTCCGTCTCCCAGGTTCAAGCAAGTCTCCTGCCTCAGCCTCCCAAAGTAGGTGGGTCTACAGGCGTGCACCACCACGCCCAGCTAATTTTTGTATTTTAGTAGAGACGGCATTTCACCATGTTGGCCAGGATGGTCTTGATCTCTTAACCTTGTGATCTGCCCGCCTTGGCCTCCCAAAGTGCTGGGATTACAAGTGTGAGCCACCACACCCGGCCATAATCTTTTCCTTTTTTTAATTAAAAAAAATTTTTTTAGAGACATAGTTTTGCTCTGTCGCCCAGGCTGGAGAGCAGTGGTACAACTTTAGCTCTCTGCAGCCTTGACCTCCAGGGCTCAAGTGATCCTCCCACCTCAGTTTCCTGAGTTGCTGTGACTACAGGTGTGCACCACCATGCTCAGCTAATTTTTGTATTTTTTGTAGAGAGAGGATTTTTGCTATGTTGCCCAGGCTGGTCTTGAACTCCTGGGCTCAAGCAATCTGCCTGCCTCAGCCTCCCAAAGCGTTTGGATTATAGGAGTGAGCCATCGAGCCGAACAAGGGGCTTAATCTTCATCTGTGTATACCAGGAACTCTAGTAGTGCCTGGGACGTAGCTTGGGCTAAATAATGTTGTTTTTTTTTTTATTTTTATTTTTGAGATGGAGTCTTGCTCTGTTTCCAGGCTGGAGTGCAGTGACAGGAACTGAGCTCACTGCAACCTCCACCTCTCAGGTTCAAGCAATTCTCTTGCCTCAGCCTCCTGAGTAGCTGGGATTACAGGCACACACCCTCAGGCCCAGCTAATTTTTGTATTTTTAGTAGAGACTGGGGGTGGGTTTCACCATGTTGGCCAGGAATGTCTCGATCTCTTGACCCTGTGATTCACCCACCTTGGCCTCCCAAAGTGCTGGGATTACAGGCCTGAGCCATCTCGCCTGGCTAGGCTAAATACTGTTAATCGAGTGAATTAATTAATGAATGATTAATTGAATAAATAACCCATCCTCTTATTGTAGAACCCTTTCCTTGCTCTTGCCAGTCCCACCCCTTCATTCTAATCTTAGCAAGTGTTCTAAGCAGCTGGGCATGGTGGCTCATGCCTGTAATCCCAGCCCTTTGGGAGGCAGAGGCAGGCAGATGGCGAGGTCAGGAGTTCTAGACCAGCCTGGCCAGCATGGTGAAACCCTGTGTGTACTAAAAATACAAAAATTAGCCGGGCATGGTGGCAGGCACCTATAGTCCCAGCAACTCGGGAGGCTGAGGCAGGAGAATCACTTGAACTGGGAAGGTGGAGATTGCAGTGAGCCGAGACTGCGCCATTTCACTCCAGCCTGGGGGACAGAGCAAGACTCTGTCTCAAAAAAAGAAAGTGTTGGCCGGGCGCGGTGGCTCAAGCCTGTAATCCCAGCACTTTGGGAGGCCGAGGCTGGTGGATCACAAGGTCAAGAGATCAAGACCATCCTGGTCAACATGGTGAAACCCCGTCTCTACTAAAACTACAAAAAATTAGCTGGGCATGGTGGCGCGTGCCTGTAGTCCCAGCTACTCAGGAGGCTGAGGCAGGAGAATTGCCTGAACCCAGGAGGTGGAGGTTGTGGTGAGCCGAGATCGCGCCATTGCACTCCAGCCTGGGTAATATAAGCGAAACTCCGTCTCAAAAAAAAAAAAAAAAAAAAGAAAGTGTTATAAGCTATGAGGGACACTTTAATCAAGGTGTGGGTGTGCATTCACATATACTGAAGTCTGTACCTGTGGTCCTACTTTGAGGTCACCAGATTGCACCCCCTTTCCCGAAGTATGTATTGGTGAACTCTCTTTCCTGTTTGTTTGGGGGCACCAAGCCAACATGTCCTGCTCTGTCCCGTTTCCACACCCTACCACGTCACCACAGCTCTACTATGCCAGGAATGTTACTGGGGAAGAGTGGTTCTCTGACTCAGAGGACACCCCAGGGACTGAGTGGGAGTTGGTGAAATTAAAAATAAAAATAGTGGGAGTTCTAAAAACACAAAAATCAGCCGGGTGTGGTGGTGCGTATCTGTAGTTCCAGCTACTCGGGAGGCTAAGGCAGAAGAATCGTTTGAACCCGGGAGGTGGAGGTTGCAGTAAGCCAAGTGCCACTGTGCTCCAGCTAAGCGACAAGAACCATACTCCATCTCAGAAATAAATTAATTAAATAAAATTCACAGATTAGTTCACAGGGAGAAGATTCCTGTCTGACTGCGTTGGTCATTCTGGGATTTATTAGTCTGTTTCCAATTTTAAAATCAGAAACAGCTTTACATCAACACCAGCTGATTTCTAAAGTAACTCAGGAAACAGTAGCAACCCAATGCCTTTTCGGGAAACAAAGATAATTTATTCAACAAATATTTATTTACTGAATACCTATGAGCCAAGTCCTGTGATAGACAATGTGCCCCTCACTAGTTCCTGTCCTGTTTAGTTGAGTGTAGGGTATAGGTATAGGCAATTATAAAATACTTCAACACTACAAAATTCTGCTGTGGAATTACAAACGGCAAGATTTTGTCTATCTTCGGTGCACAAAGGAAGACGAATAATCCAGCAGGTGGCAGCAGGGACACAATTATTTTAGATTTTGGTAAGGAAAAAGTAGAAGGCTGAGGTAAATGCATGGGGAGATATATATATATATGTGTGTGTACTTTTTTTTTTTTTTGAGACAGAGTTTTGTTCTTGTTGTCCAGGCTGGAGTGGAATGGCGCGATCTCAGCTCACTGCAACCTCCGCCTCCTGGGTTCAAGCAATTCTCCTGCCTCAGCCTCTCAAGCAGCTTGGATTACACGCGCCCGCCACCAGGCCCAGCTAATTTTTTGTATTTTTAGTAGAGACGGGGTTTCACCATGTTGGCCAGGCTGATCTCAAACTCCTGAGCTCAGGTGATCTGCCCGCCTCAGCCTCCCAGAGTGCTGGGATAACAGGCGTGAGCCACAGCGCCCGGCCTGCATGGGGATATTCTATGGATGTTCGGGTCCCAGGTTCCCTTATGAGGACCCACAAAACATCTGAAAAGAGGATAACCAGGCCATTCTGGGGTTTACAAAACCTGTTTTAATGGGGTTCTTTCATGGGCTGTGAATTTGAGAGGATCTATCAGTCCGACTCTTTTTTTTTTTTTTTTTTTGAGACGGAGTTTCGCTCTCGTTACCCAGGCTGGAGTGCAATGGCGCGATCTCGGCTCACCGCAACCTCCGCCTCCTGGGTTCAGGCAATTCTCCTGCCTCAGCCTCCTGAGTAGCTGGGACTACAGGCACGTGCCACCATGCTCAGCTAATTTTTTTGTATTTTTAGTAGAGACGGGGTTTCACCATGTTGACCAGGATGGTCTCGATCTCTTGACCTCGTGATCCACCCGCCTCGGCCTCCCAAAGTGCTGGGATTACAGGCTTGAGCCACCGCGCCCGGCCCTGATGGACTCTTATCCCAGTGTTTTCCCATCCCTATTCATGTATTCATTCCACAGATAATTATTGAGCCCCTACTATATATAAAGTCACAGGAGCTGGAGATACAAAAGTGAACCAAACACAGTCCTTGCTTTCCAGAATTTTGACAGCCAGCTCAGAAAGACAGGACTTCAGATTCCCACCATGGTTCATAGCCTACGGAGTACTTTGTTAAAAACGATCAGGGTTACTATGAAGACTACAACGGGAGAAATTTTTCTGTGTATCTCCATGCCCTTTAGAGCATAGATAATTGACAGGTGGAGGCCAAAAGGCTTGGGTTGCGGGAAGGTTGTGGTAAGTTCCTGATTGCCTCCCGCGCCCTTTTTTGACAGGGCTTCACTGATTCATGCATCAAATATTTACTGAACTCCATCACTGTGCCTAGCTTTGTGCTTGAGGCAAACAAAACACATATCTATTCCGAATGTTATTCGGAGGAAGGTAAGACATGCACGCAAGTTTAATTAAATAGTAAACAGGGTAGTAAAACCTGAAAAAGGCTAGGAAGAGTTCTTGGTGGCATGTAATGTTTTGTAATATTCGACACCTTAACGTCGCTGACTTGACACCAGTACTCTCACCGAGAGTTATCTTCTGGGTTGGGAATTTCAGAGGACGTGCCGGAGTGACTGTTATCCAGAGTTCAGATCACTCAAGCCAAACCTCGCAAAGAACTGAACCTAAATGGATCTGCTGAGCCACCGTACGAACGGTTGGCCAACCCGCGCGCTCACGTCTTCCACCCGTGGACTCGTCAGAGAGTGAGGACCCGCCTCACGTGACCATTAGCAGCCTCCCAATTGGCTTTGCTTCTTTTCTCTCCTCTTTGATGGGGCTGATAACCCGAGAAGGTCGGGCGCATGCGCAGTGGTCGGATTTTTTTTTTTTTTTTTTTTTTCCTCCCCAGGCCACCCGGAGTGAAGCAGCCGGGTTGGGCGTTAAACAGGCCGCAGCTAGGGTGGATGGAGAGGGGGCATTCGCTCCTCTGGGACTGTTCTTGCCTCGTTTTTTTTTTTCTGATGTGGCTTGGTCCGGATGCGGAGTCCCAGCAGCCAGCTTGAGCTTACTCTTTTGTGAAAGGGGAAGGTATCCCCTGTGGGAAGCGGTTAAACTTGTGGAGGGGGTGCTAGACTGGAGTTCTCCTCCATGCCAGGGGAATGGTGCGGCCTTGAAGTGGTCCAGGAGCCGGCTGGAGGTGTCTGAGGGAGGCCCCGGAGGGGGCGGGGAGGTGGCCCGCAGAACGCGGGTTCTGTAAAGGGACGTCGGGAAGATTCAGTTCCAAGAAGAGGAAGAGCCGGATTGAAAGAGGCAGGCCGTTGAGGGGGAGGGGGCTGCCAAGATGGCGTCGGCCTCCTCCGGGCTGTCGTCGGCGGTCGGTTTTTCATCCTTTGATCCCGGGGTACCTTCCTGTACCTCGTCCTCAGGTAAGCCGGGCAGGGCGTGGGTAGGGAGCTGGTGAGGAATGTGGGATGGGAGGAAGAGCGAGACTTATGAGGGTACCTGTAGCTGGGAATGTCCTAGGGGTAAGCGGGTTGGGGCGGGGGCGGGGGTGAGCTGGGCTTTCAAGTAGAGATTTCTGAGTGGGCAGAGGAGTTTGAGGAAAGGATGAGTTTGACTCAGAAAAGAAGCTGTCGAAAACGTTGATTGTCTTTGAGGAGAAGAGATGGAGATTGAAGGTGGGGGTAGAAAACGAGAAACGGAAGGGAGTAGAGAAACTAAAAAAGTACATGGAGGTCTAAGAAGTAGAGAGGAACTAGTTAGTGTGAGATGCAGGTAGAATTTAAGTTGATTGAGTTCTATTTGGATAAAAATGTTGAAGAGAAGCCATGGGACTTAAAAGGTATTGAAGAGTTATGGGACACTTTCGATTGCTAAAGAGGTAGGGAATCGTGAATTTTGTTAGGGGGTGGGAGTTGGTGAAGCCATCTTTTCCCTCAGAGACTCCCCCTAATGTGTCATCCCTTTTCACTTCGCACTCCCACCCCCCGGCGCGGGCAGGCGCACAGAGACACATACTTTCTCAAACTAACTCCTTTGCTGACTCCCAACTCTAAACTGCCTAACTCTGGGAAGGAATGGAAGTTTTGAAGAGAGCCTAAAGAATATAGGAAATTAAGGTCAAAGACCTTAAAAACAGATGGGAAAGATGGAATGGGGCCTTGAATTGCAGTCGAGACTGCGAGAAGTAATGTTTTGGAAATTAGGCCTGAGAAGAAGAAAGATGGGTGGGGGGTGATTGTAAGTGTTGTTGGGGAGTATTGCATAATAGAGAATGGACTGGAAGAATGCTTAAGCTGTATCAGGAGATTGGAATTTGGAGAATGGAGCCAGGTTAATGTAGACAGCTCGACGTATTAAGTTAAAAACTAATGAAGATTGAGGAAGGGCTGAGGAGGCCCACAAGAAAAGCAACAAACAGATTGTGTGTAGGAGAGAAAATGTGTGTGTATTGCGGTGGGGGACGGGAGGTGAGTCAGAAACTGTTCCAGCGCTTCCATCAGAAATGTCTGGTGTTTCACAGTAACTTCTGCCTCTACACTGTGAATAGATGCTGCCAGATGTTGGATGTTTTGCTTGATTTTGGTATTTCCTCAGGCCTGGTATTGCGTTTTTGCCGTTTTGAATTGGCTGAATAGGGCTCCATCTTTCACATTCCAGCTCAAATGCTGGACTGTCAAGTCACAAATATCTTCTTTAATAAGCTGCAGTTTTATTTATGTATCTCTATTTTTAGTTTCTTGGGAGGGGATTTTTACCAAAGTGTTAGGGGGTCAGAACAACTCGTGCTGCATTGTAAGCGTGAACAAGGATAAAAGTGACAAGAGTTTTTATTTTTATTTATTTGTTTTTGAAATGGAGTATGGCTCTGTCGTCCAGGCTGGAGTGCAATGATGCGAACTCGGCTCACTGCAATCCCTGCCTCTTGGGTTCAAGCGATTCTCAGCCTCCTGAGTACCTGGGATTACAGGTGTCTGCCACCTAATCTTTGTATTTTTAGTAGAGATGGGGGTTTCACCATGTTGGTCAGGCTGGTCTCCAACTCTTGACCTCAGGTGATCCACCTGCCTTGGCCTCCCAAAGTGCTGGGATTACAGGTGTGAGCTACCTCGAAGGGTTTTTATTTTTAATAGTAGCTCCTTAATTTGAAACCTGTTTCCCCTCTAATCTACAACCCTGAAAGAAGGGTTGTGTATGGTCCTTCAACTTCTCAACTATGAAGTCAGATATTTGCTCTGTACTGTCTGATATTTTTGTAGATCTTTATGTATTCTGTCACTTCCTTCTGCTAACAGTTAATAATACAGATTGTATAGATGTTTTTGTGTTTTCTTTTCTTTTTTTTGAGACAGAGTATTATTCTGTCACCCAGGCTGGTGTACAGTGGTGTACCCCAGCTTACTGCAATCTCCACCTCCTGGGTTCGAATGATTCTCCTGACTCAGCCTCCCAAGTAGCTGGGAATACAGGCATGTGCCACCAGGCCTGGCTATTTTGTGTGTGTTTTTTTTTTTTTAATGAATTTTTATTAGAGATGGGGTTTCACCCTGTCAGCCAGCCTGGTCTCAAACTCCTAACCTCAAGTGATCCACCCAACATTTCTTTAATGAAATGTTTTTGATGAGGATAAGATGTTTGATTCTGATGCCAAAAAAGAAAAACCTATTAAGAAAGGATTTTAGGGCTGGGCGCGGTGGCTCAAGCCTGTAATCCCAGCACTTTGGGAGGCCGAGGCGGGTGGATCACGAGGTCAAGAGACCGAGACTATCCTGGTCAACATGGTGAAACCCCGTCTCTACTAAAACTACAAAAACATTAGCTGGGCGTGGTGGTGCGTGCCTGTAATCCCAGCTACTCAGGAGGCTGAGGCAGGAGAATTGCCTGAACCCAGGAGGTGGAGGTTGCGGTGAGCCGAGATGGCGCCATTGCACTCCAGCCTGGGTAACATGAGTGAAACCCCGTCTCAAAAAAAAAAAAAAAAAAGAAAGGATTTTAGGCCAGGCATGGTGGCTCATGCCTGTAATCCCAGTACTTTGGGAAGCTGAGGCAGGAGGATCACTTGAGGACAGGAGTTCAAGACCAGCCTGGCCAACATGGCAAAACCCCATCTCTACTAAAAATACAAAAATTAGCTGGGTGTGGTGGTGGGCGCCTGTAATCTCAGATACTCAGGAGGCTAAGGCAGGAGACTCGCTTGAACTCAGGAGGCTGAGGTTGCAGTGAGCTGAGATTGCCTCACTGTACTCCAGCCTGGCGACAAAGACTCTTAAAAAAAGACTTTACTGGCCAGGCGAGGTGGCTCATGCCTGTAATTCCAGCACTTTGGGAGGCCAAGGCGGGTGGACCACCTGAGGTCAGGAGTTTGAGACCAGCCTGGCCAACATGGTGAAACCCCGTCTCTACTAAAAATACAAAAAATTAGCTGGGCATGGTGGCAGGCACCTGTATGCCCAGCTACTGCGAAGGCTGAGCAGAAGAATCACGTGAACTCAGGAGGCTGAGATTGCAGTGAGCCAAGATCACCCCATTGCACTTCAGCCTGAGTGACAAGAGCAAGAGTTCATCTCAAAAAAAAAAAAAAAAAAAAAAAAAAAGATTTTATTTGTGATTGGAAGAGATTACTTCTCTGTCTGAATGGTACCAGAGGAATTAGAAAGTTGGCAGGAACAAGTGATGGTTTATGAGTTTCTTTTTTTTTTTTTTTTTTGAGACGGAGTTTCACTCATGTTACCCAGGCTGGAGTGCAATGGCGCCATCTCGGCTCACCGCAACCTCCACCTCCTGGGTTCAGGCAATTCTTCTGCCTCAGCCTCCTGAGTAGCTGGGATTACAGGCACGCACCACCATGCCCTGCTAATGTTTTTGTATTTTTAGCAGAGACGGGGTTTCACCATGTTGACCAGGATGGTCTCGGTCTCTTGACCTCGTGATCCACCCGCCTTGGCCTCCCAAAGTGCTGGGATTACAGGCTTGAGCCACTGCGCCCGGCCTGGTTTGTGAGTTTCTAAATTGTTAAAGGCTAGAAGGTTAGCTCTGTAGAAATTCAAGGAGTGTGTGTGTCAACCATCCTAAAATGATTTATTGTTCTTAGATGTTTAGCTGACTTCACTTAAGTTTTGGTGAAACTCAAATCCTAAAGGACAGTGTTCTCTGGCGATGCTGAAAATGAATATAAAACAAAAGTGTCATAGTCTAAGGACAGATTGACAGTTTTTGATAAGCCGTTCATAACTTTAGGCACTCCAAATCTTCTGGCATTTAAATTGGGAAGAAGAGTTTATTTAGGAGAGTTTGTTCCCTGCCAATATTAAACCCCTGTCTAGATTGTTTCACCATCAAGCCAGAGCCAGACTTTCATACTGCTGATAAGTGAAATACATGGGGTAAAGCAAACCGTAAGTTCTAAAAAACATTTAACATCTTTTCCTATTGGAGCAATTACCATGTTTGGATTTGGAGGAGGCCGTTATAAACTTTCCATAGTCTATCAATAGCTTGAAATTTAGCTACTTTTTGCCCCGCCCCCCCCGCTTTTTTTTTTTTTTTGAAATAGAGTCTCTGTCGCCCAGGATGGAGTGCAGTGATAGGATCTCGGCTCACTCCAACCTCCACCTCCTAGGGTCAAGAGATTCTTCTGCCTCAGCCCCCTAAGTAGCTGGAATTACAGACATGCGCCAACATGCCCGACTAATTTTTTTGTATTTTTAGTAGAGGATGGGGTTTCACCATGTTGGCCAGGCTAGTCTCGAACTCCTGATCTTGTGATCCGCTCTCCTTGGCCATCCAAAGTGCTGGACTATAGGCTAGAGCTGCTGCGCCCAGCCCTACTTTTCGCCCATTTTACTACCATGAAGAGAGAAAAGAGTTTCTGTCTTGGAGACTTGATTTGAAGATCGGGCCACTGCATTCCAGCTAAAGGAAAAAGAAAAGCACTTGAAACCTTAAATAATCGTGAGCTGTAGCTCCTTTTGCTTCAGACTAGAACATTTTTAAAATGATCATCACTCACCTATATGACTTTATCATAAGCACAAATGATTTGGATGTAACTTTACAGCTGCTTACCTGACTTTCCCCACCCTTAACTGCTCGGCGAAAGCCAGAGAATACAGGATATTTGAGGATACATTTTTGCCTGGAACCGTTTTTTTTTTTTTTTTTTGAGACGGAGTTTCGCTCTTGTTACCCAGGCTGGAGTGCAATGGCGCGATCTCGGCTCACCGCAACCTCCGTCTCCTGGGTTCAGGCAATTCTCCTGCCTCAGCCTCCTGAGTAGCTGGGATTACAGGCACGCGCCACCATGCCCAGCTAATTTTTTGTATTTTTCGTAGAGACGGGGTTTCACCATGTTGACCAGGATGGTCTCGATCTCTTGACCTCGTGATCCACCCGCCTCGGCCTCCCAAAGTGCTGGGATTACAGGCTT